GTCCTTTTGTTTAAGGGGAGAAAAAGATAAGTGGCTGTGGCCATCTAAAATGGAGATGGTTGTGTGTAGCCTCTGGACCTCTGGAGATTCTTCATCCTGATATATCTGTAAGACTACATTTTATGCATCTAAAGAAGTGAACTACAGAGCAGTGCATAAAAGCTGATGCTATACCAAATAACGACAACTCAATGCTTAGATAGGATTGTAGCCACTGGCATGCTATACATGGACAACTCAATGCTTTTAGTTGTCTTAGATACTGTAGGATTGTAGCCACTGGCATGCTATACATGTTGTAAGCTGACTGCAGGTAGATTTGTGTCTTTGTGTGTATATATACACACATATATAATGTATGCAGCCCTAAGCAGCATTTGGCTTCAGATCCACCCATAATAAATATTTCAAAAAATCAGCCTTTCCCCCAGGAGTAGCTGTTTGGATACTAGAGAACTTGGGGGTGTTCCCTAAGGTATGAACCCCCAAAACAAAGAACAAAAACCAAACTAGAAGTGCTCATCCAACCATTTCCTGTCTACCCTTTTTTAAAAAAATAAATAAATCCCAAAGCAGCCATTTCTGCTGTGGCCCAAGACAAGAGATAGCATTTATACTCTTGTTCTACAGCTGTGAATACTCTCAAAGTACAAAGAGAGAGAATGAAGATCCTTTGGGCTTACAAGAAATAAATAAATAAAAATAATGATAATGATACTTGATGACACAGGAGGAAGATGGGATGAGGAGGTAAAATGAAAACACAAACTCAGGCAGTACTTGGATGGTATGAGGCTACTCAGCCCTGTGGAACCACTGCAGCTGATGTATAGTTCATTGGAACTCTGAAAAGTTGGTGGTGGCCTTGCCTTGCTTTCTATATCGAGGTGGAAGGTCTGCTCAGTGACACTGTAAAAGAACCCATACTGCTGCATCTTTTCCATTTACTTCTACTATTCTTGGAGCAGCTTTTCCAAAATATGTCCATTAGATACATGACTGTTTCTAATATGAACATAGGCTTGCATCTACATTAGGAGCCGCTTCATTTGGAGACTTGAGATTAATAAATTTTACTAGCTGTGAAACAGACATGGAAAGGTTTTCTTTAAAACCTTTCACTGATCAAAAGCTCAGCAGCTATTGTATCGTCATAAGATTTCTTAATTTCTTAATTTGGTGTGCTGAAAGCACTTGCAAATATTGTTGGGAAGAAAAAGTGTTGACAAACTAAATGTCCAAATGCTATAGTTGCTTATTTAATCTAGGGCTGCAATTAGAGATGGGCATGAACCTGAAAAAAATGTGGCTTGTGATGGTTCGTGGTTAGCCACGAACCAACCAGAAAACTGAACCAGTTCACGGCTGGGTTTTTGGTTTGTGCCTGGTGGGGCAGGGCCTACCTGCTCCTGTCATGCTGCATATAGAAATTCTAACATGGCCCAGAGGGTTGGTGTGCCTGGCTGTGGGTCCAGAGGTCAGGAGTTTGAATTCCCCACAGCTCCTCAAAAGAGAGAGACTAGATGAGGTCAGCTGCAAAGGTGACCAAGTTACATGCCTTGCCACCTATGCTGCCTTGAAAAAGCCAAATGGTTCCAATGCATAACCAAAAGGAGAGATGGCTGAATCACTTCAGACTACTTTAAGCCTAGAAAACCCTGTGAGGGTTGTCATAGGTTGGCACTGACTTGATGGCACATAATTCATCATTATTGATTCCCATAGAATTGCTGGAAAGACAAGAAAACTATTATGCATTTCTAGACTGATAAAAATTGCTTGTCTGTCAGGTCACCATTAGCTCTTTCCTGTGGTTATGCAACCTATGGCTGTATACTTGAAAGTATGTTCCACTGAATTCATCAGGGCTAGCTTCCAGTAGGAGTGCACAGGGAGTCCTCCTTAATAAATTCGTAGAGGTAACAGCCCATCAGTCACTCCAGAACGTCTGATAGCTAACATTATTAGAAGCCAATGCACTTCTCTGAGGTCAGACTATCACTAGGGATGCACGTGTCAGAGCTGAGAGGTAAACTAGCTGACACATCATTCTTATAGTGATACTCAATTAATCTGCTGTGGTTTTCATACTTTCTGCTTTCATGAAACAGAATCAGTGTCAGCTTGTCTGTTGAGGAACGTCTATACTGAGGACGGGTAATGTCTGGCCCTCCAGATGTTGCTGGACTGCGACCATCTTAATCTCTTATGGTTGGCTACGCTGGCTAGGGAAAATGAGAGCTGCAATCTGACAGTATATGGAAGGCCACATGTTTTACATCCCTGTCCTATATAACAGCTGCAAAACTAGTTCATTGCAGACAAGGATCATAGAATAATGGAGTTAGGGTCAGCTTAGCCTAACGGTTCCTTCTTCCTTGTGATACTTGCGAATAATGGAGTTGGATGCTGCCTCTAAGGCTATTGCATCCAACCAGGGCTGCTTTATTCAAAGGGCAAAGTGGACATTTGCCCAGGGCTGCCTGGGGGAATTTTTTATCCCCCTCCCCCATGTAATAGTACTCTGGCAGCCTGCACTGCCCACTTCTCACTGGGCCTTTGAAGTCATGTGCGCTGAGGTTATGTGACTGGACCATGATGCATGACCTAGCGCCATTTGAGCACTGGCACAGCCTTTTCTCCTGCATCATTGAGGCCAGGTGGAGCTGACAGTGGCAGACACAGCAATGAGAGGCTATTATGGGGTCAAAGATGGCAGAGAGAGGCTGTCAGGGGGCTAAAATGGTACAGAGGTACAGTCAACCCTCGACTTACAAACGGTCCTAGTTACAAACATTTCGACTTACAAACCACTCTGATAGAAAAAATATTGACTCGACTTGCAAACTTAGATTCGAGTTACAAACTGAAAAACATTGTGCTCCCATTTTGGGGCTTCCGGCGGCCATTTTGGACCCACTGAACAGCTGATCGGTGGGTCGCAAAGCGAAGGTCGGTAAGCAAACCGCTTACCGACCTTCGCTATGTGGGTTTCGCCCTATCTAAAGCTCGTTGAGCGATCACATTAGCGATCCCAAAAAAGGGATCGCTATGCGATTTTGTTGTTGTATGGTGCCCTCGTTAAGCAAGGCACCACTGTAGTTCCATCTGAAGATACTGTTGTGAAACTTGGTCTTGAGGTACTTTGGATTTTTTGCTATATTAGAGACACAGGATTCCTATCTGTTTTGACTACAGTCAACCCTCGACTTACAAACGGTCCTAGTTACAAACATTTCAACTTACAAACTGCTCTGATACAAAAAATTTTGACTCGACTTGCAAACTTAGATTCGAGTTACAAACTGAAAAAAATTGTGCGGGAGGTGGGGAAAGCGCAAAATTTGAACTTTCAGTTAACCGTTGGCCAGTGAAGAGGGTGCCTGTCTGCTTCCTCACTCTTCCCAGCGTTTTGAGAGAGTGGATTTGGAGACAGTCTTCAGACTCCCTGGTACTGCCTGGTATTGCTTGGTACAGTGCTGTACGGACTGTATTTTTATTTTTTGGCTTTGTTAAAATTGATTTTTGGATTTTTAAAAGGTGTTCCCTCTGTTGCCCCCTTTTTCCCAAGAAAAGCCAATACAAGGTGCTTGTATTGGCTTGTCTTGATTGAAAAAGTGCTTTTCAAGGTGATCTGTTGTCTGAAAGGTGCTTGGTTTTTCCCAGAAGGTGTTTGTCTTGGCTGAAAAGGTGCTTTTCAAGGTGTTCTGTTTAAAAGGTGTCTGTTCCTTCCTTCCCTCCCTCTTTTCTTTCCTTTTTTTTAACCTAAGTCATTTTAGGTTAAAAGGAAAAAAAGAAAAAAATTCTGTCCCTAGTGGTAGGAACGGATTAACCGGCTTTGCATTAGTTCCTATGGGAACCAATGATGATTCGAGTGACAAACCGCCCCTCGACCTAAGAACCAAAAACAGCCAGAACGGATTAATTGGTTTTCAGTGCATTCCTATGGGAAATGCTGATTCGAGTTACGAACTTTTCGACTTACAAACTTCCTTCCGGAACGGATTAAGTTTGTAAGTCGAGGGTTGACTGTATTGTTGTGGAGCTAAGATGACACGGGCAAACTGCTTCGAGACACACAGGGCGCTAGCATGATGTACAAGATTTATGCATTTGCTGCTCATTGGCATGATATGCCAAGTCTATGTATTTACTGTTCATTGGCACAATATATAAAGTTTATGCACAAAAATAGTGTCTTTGTAAAATTCTCCTTCTGTCAGAGGAGAATATCTTACCTGTCAGTATTGATTAATTAATTAATTGATTAATTCTTGGAGCCAGAGCTGTGGGTGTTGTTCTTTTTTTCCCTTTTAATCTTTGCGTTTTATGGGTGAAATTTTGCACTGAATAGATGCCATTTAATAGCATGAGTTAAGTTATCTCACTGAGTATTATAGACTGTAACAGAAACTATTGAGTTAAAAACCACTGATAGGATAATTAAATTGAGCGCATAGTGCGATACTCATTTTTTGGACAAGACTGATGGCTTTATTGTAAGGAGGATGTTTTGTGTTTAGTATTCAAATTCTGTTTCTTGTATCTTTTACACATTCTAATTCCGGGATTGGCAGATCCATGGCAGCTCATAAAATCTCTGCTACTGGCTCTTAATATTTTTGACTGTTTTATATAGAACTATAGGAAGCAATTATTTCTTTGGCTCCTAAAATCAACCAGGCTGGCTCCTGAATTAGTCTGTGTGCCTCCCAAAGTCTACAAATATCTACAAATTAAATCACAGTAACTGTTAAATAATGTTTTCTATATACTAATAGTGACAATGCCTTCTTGCATACGTTTATTACACTTACAGAGTCTAGATAGAAATATGGCATCACCTTAAAAAATGCAAGTCTGGATCTCTTAAAAAGAAAGAAAGGCATACAAAAGAACAGGAAAAGAAGGCAGCTGTAAGGCAGGCTTTCCCATTTTGGGCAAAATTTAAAAGTAATCCTTTGCCATCAACATCCCATGATGGAGATTATGACATACCTATGGAAGGTTTAGATCTTATTTCAGAGAAAAGAGATGATGATCCTAAAGAGATTATTCTGAACAGCACCAACACAGATGAAGAAGATAATATTCCTGAATTTGAGGAAGATTTGATACGATGTGAATATGAGGCAACAGAAGGTGAGTGGATTGAGGAGAATAAAACATCAGTAGCTGAAGATGAAATTCTTGGAGTTGTACAAGATAAGGAAGATGTCAATATATCATCTACTGATCCTGCCTTATGGCCTAAATTACATTTTGATCAGCAAATTGACATATCCAAAGTGTTTATTTTGGCACTGTAATAGGATAGGAGGTATCAGCCTTCTGGAACCAAGACTCTTGTTTTTATTACAGGATTTTCTTTGGATACAGTTTTTGTTTTCTAGGACTGGATACTTGCTTATGGCCATAAGCTAGACTTTCTTTTCATTGTTATGTTGTTTGTTTGTTTACCTAAGCATTGTTTACTTATTTACTGCTACCAAGATCACCTTAGCGAGTCAATCTTATTTATGTTATATTACATTGTTCACATTATGTGACCTATTTAGGTGGGAGGTAAGAGAGAGGGAAGGAGGAAGAAGGGAGTCCAGGGCCCATCAGAACCTTGAATAATCCCTGTGTCCAACCCCTTGGTTGATGCAGGAGTCCAAATCAAAGTATATCTCACAGATGATTCTTAATTTTCTCTTGAATGTCTCCAGCATTGGAGCACTCATCACTTCCTGAGGGAATAGGTTACATTATTGTTTTGCTCTAACAGTTAAGAGGTTTTTCCTAGTATTCAACTAAAATCTGACTTTCTGTAAGTTGAGCCCATTATTTTGTGTTCTGATGATCTAGAACAAATTCTGCCCCTTTTCTGATGGCAGTCTTTCAAGTACAGTGGTGCCTCGCTTAACAATTGCCTCGTTAAATGACAAAACCGCTATACGATTACTGTTTTGTGATGGCTTTTGCGATCGTAAAATGATGTTTTAATAGGTAAAACCTGCTTTGTGACAATCGGTTCCCTGCTTTGGGAACTGATTCTTTGCGTTATGACGTTTTTAAAACAGCTGATCGGAAGCTTCAAAATGGCCACCCACTGTGTAAAATGTCTCCCTGCTGTGTTTTTGGATGGATTCCTCACTTTACAGGCACAGAAAATGGCCACCCCTATGGAGGATTTTCGCTGGACAGTGAGTTTTTCAGCCCACTGGAACGCAATGAATGGGTTTTCAATGCATTTCAATGGGATTTTTTATTTTGCTTAATGAGGATTTCGCTCTACAGCGATTTCGCTGGAACGGATTATCCTCGTTAAGTGAGGCACCACTGTATTTGAAAAGTTCCATCATATCTTTTCTCAAGGCTAAACATGCCCAGTTCTTTCAATTTTTCCTCATAGAGCTTGTTTTCCAATCCCCTGATCATCCTTGTTGCCTTCCTCCGAACTTGTTCCAGTTTGTCAGCATCATTCTGAAAGTGGTGTTCAGAACTGTACTTAAGATGAGACTTAATGTAGAATAGAGGGGAACTAGTAGTTCATGTGATTTGGAGACTATGCTGCCTGAAATGACAATTGACTTTTTTGTAGCCACATCACACTGTTGGTTCATATTCAGCTTGTGATCTACAACAATTTCAAGATCCTTCTTGCTTGTAGTATTATCAAGCCAAGTATTCTCCATCTTGTAGTGATATATTTAGGGTTTTTTCTCCAGTAGGTGTAGAACTTTGCACTTATCCCTGGTAAATTTCATTCTGTTGTTTTCAACCCAGTGCTTGAACCTATCAATATACATTTTGAATTTTGTTGATATCTTCCAGGGTATTAGCTATTCCATCCAATTTTTGTCATCTGCAGATTTGATAAGTATTCCCTGTATCTCCTTATCCAAGTCATTAATAAAAATGTTGAAGAGTAATGAGCGCATTTCTTTACTTTCAGTTGCTTTAAATTACAGACTTGTGTATGCTGCTTTCTTTACTGCACACAATTTAGCAACCAACCAAACAGATCAACAGCAAGAAACAACTGCCACCAGCTGACAAAAGAAAGAAATGGAACTCGCAGCAGAGAGGCAAGGCTTTGAATTTACAAAACAGGAAGAAATGATTGGTTAGTACTGGTTAGATAGCCAATCACCCAAGCCCAGAAAAGTTCTTCCCCATCAACAGTTACCATGTTTTCCCAAAAATAAGACAGAGTCTTATATTAAATTTTGCTCCTAAAACACATTAAGGCTTATTTTCAGGGAATGTTTTTTTTTTTCATGTAAAAGAATCTACACTTATTCAAATACAGTCATGTCATCTTCTGGTT